ATTGTCACTTAAAATGTCTAAATTAAGGCAAGTAATAACTGAGAAAAAAAGGATTATTTTTACAAAGTACTATTGTAAAATAATAACTTTTTTGTAATACATTAATCTTTTTACAGACAGATCACTTCAAGTTTATTTATATTTTTCCCTATGGTCTAGTTCAAACAAAAAACTATTATTATTATGATTATTATTATTATTATATAACCATAGCACATGTAAAAAAAAAAAATGGCAAAATAATTATCAATGACAAAAAAAGTTGTGTTTTTCGACACAAAGCCGTTATATGTCTTTAGAAGACTTGCAATATTGCAACTAATTATATGTAAATCCATTTATACTTTTTTCTTGTTGGACTTAACCATAGTCACCATTCGCTTTTACGGCCTGGAAAAGAGCAGCTTAAACATCATTCAAAGTATCTCCTTTTTGTTTTAAAGATTCAAGTCAACCATACAAGCTTGGAAGGAACATGCGTATGAATAAATGACAACAGAATGATCATTGTGGATGAACTGCTTCACTTTTTGAATCAAGAAATCCTACAAAGCATTGGATTGTTCAGCTGTACATCATTGCTTTAGTATTTAGCAAACATCTCTATAAATACTTTGGTCGGTCTACATTTGATCCCCATATCGAACAAGAGTAGTATTGCGGCTGCAGTGCTGCGAACACAAAAGTCCAGCAGTGTGTCAAATATTCCTCACACTCGTGTCGCACATCAATACAGTGTCATTTACAGGCCGGCGGTGCTTTCAGTCGAGCTCGCCCCACAAATATCAAATCAATCCTATCTATAATACAAATCAAACTCTCAGAGATCTGCTCAAAGAGTGAATAGCCGCATTTCCACTGTTGAACGGCTAGCATGTTTTCATATCAGTGTGTACAAGCTGTTGTGTAGAGAAACGCACCACTGCTGTGAAATGCACTTTCATTAGCATTAGGCTATAATTGTTATCGTAGTTCTCTGCCTTTCCATCAATTATCAATGATGAGACTGGAGGTTTGAAGTTGAGATAGTCAAGAGCAAACCCCAAAGCAATCTGAAGTCCCTCCTGGACAATTCTCCTGAAGAGTCTATTTTCTGTCCCATCTTTATACTGACTTTTCTCCCACCTCCAGGTGCTCTCCTTTTACAGTTTTTCTCAGACACTTTGGTGCATTTCTCACTGCACTATTTACATTTGCACAACAGTTAATGCAAACTGCAAAACAATTAGTGCAAACTGCAAAACCTAGCTGATAACCTGCAAAAGCGCGTCGCCTGCTCAAAATGGATGGTTCATTCCTCAAAAGCAAGTATTGATGTCAATCAAAGTGTCAGTGTCATCAAAATGAAAAGTCCTGTCACCATTGTTTATGAACAAGATAGAGTCATATCCTAATACACATGCTGTGCCCCATATGATCTAAAAACCTGACAGGTGGACAAATCTAAGCTTGTTTTTAATAAAACAAATATAAATATGCATATAATAAACAATACTGCTAATAATAATAACATTATACAAAAGCAAATTGTTATGAATTAGCTGAAAAAAGTTTCTCAAAATAGCAACGTGCCAGCAATGCGCCTCAATACGCCTTCTTTTTTAGACCAGAACGCCTATGGGCGCACATATGAGCGCAAATGTATTTGCTATTTAAACAGTGTGGCGCAAAACATCAAAACGACTCTTGCGCAGAGCTGAAACTAGCAAACAACAATTGCGTCTCGCCTTGCGCCGGGTGTATGATAGGGCCCTGGGAGTCCTGCAAGAACGCTTTCTTTGCCATTCCAGATGACTTTATTAATAAGTGATTGGAGTCATTGCAGAGATGTGTGGATGCAGTCCTCCAAGCTCATGATGGAGTCAGGCACAATATTCATTCTGTTTCCACTGCAGCATGACTTTATATTCTATACTGGACATTATTTCTGTTCAGTGACAAGACTTTTGTCTCAGCAAAGTCAGACCTTACTGCCCTAATTAAAGAATTAAAAATCAAGGCATGATCATATTTTATCTTGGTAAAATGAGCGTAATATGTAGGCCTTCACCCTCATATGAGCCACTTCTGATGCCAAATGATCAACTTGAAGTCAAGTTATTATTTGTTGTTCCTAAAACTTAGAAAGGCGATAAGAATTTTCAGGTAGTGTATATACATCTTTTGTAAGGGAAAGGTTCCATAATGAAACTCACTTTAGTCATTTTCATTAATGTCATAACTATTATTAAAAAAGTATCAATTTAAGTTAATAGATGCGTATTTAAGAGGGGGTGCATTTATGGCAGGGGTGCGTTTCTCAGTAGAACACAAGCTAATATCAACTTCAAAACCACTAGTGAGTGTCTAAAATAACACTGATTGCAATGCGATTTAGATTTAGAAATGTGATGCTAAAGGCTAATTATGCAAGCAATCGCCATAATGAGAACATGAACAACTGAAGAACTAAATGTGCATTTATTTAGCTTCATATTTGTGTCTTTGTAACTAGAATTCAGTAATAATTGAGTATTTTTTGAGTTTTTGTGTTTAAAAATAACAGGTTTCAAGTAAGTGGCAACAAAAGTAGGCAACCCTAAAATTTCTTTCTATTTTTTTTATATATCATCATATTTGTGTCTGTTGATACTGTAATTCAATAATATCAGAATATTTTTGAGTAGTGATCAAAATAAGAGGATTGAAGGAAGTGTCTACTAAATTAGGCTGTTTGTTTAAGGTAGACTACTGATACAAATGAATGAATTGCTATTTTGAATTATTGGTCAAATGTTGATGCTGTAGTGCTGTGTCCCAGTTCATCTACTCATACTACTTTTGCTGTACATCATTGGTTTAGTATTTAGCAAACTCTCAATAAATACTTTGGCCGGTCTACATTTTATCCTTAAATCTTCAAACTACCAAGAATAGTATTGCAGTTGTGGTGTGAACACAAAAGTTCAGGGTTAGGATTAGCCCTAGGGTTAACTCTAACCCTAAGTGTAGAAAAAATAAGTCAGTAGTGGTTAAAAATAAAGGGATTCAAGGAAGCGGCAACTAAATTAGGCTGTGTTTTTTCCCCTTTTCTGTTTGTTTGAGGTGGACTGCTCATATAAATGAATGAATTGCTGTTTTAATTATTGATCATATATTGATGCTGCATCCCAATTCACCTACTTGTACTACGTCCTTAAAGTATGTATTCTTATTGCAAGATAAAGTACAGCCTTTTGAGTGTGTAACAAGCTAAGAGACATCACCTTTTAATGACTGCTGCTTCTGTCAATCGTCTCATCAGATCCTACATATTTCTTTCATAATTAATTTCCTATACTGTAAATCAGCATTTCTCAACCATGTTCCTGGAGAAACCAGCTCTGTGCATTTTCTGTGTCTCATTTTCCAAACACACTCGATTCAGATCATTAGCTCATTAGAAGAGAGTAAAAGACCTGCAATGTTTGTAACAGAGAAAAAAAGACACCCAAAACATGCAGTGCTGGCGCTCCTCCAGGAACGTGGTTGAGAAACACTGCTGAGGAAAATATTAATATTAATAATAATAATAATGCATTTTATTTAAAGGTGCCTTCCTGGCAACTCAAGGACACCGTACAATAAAACAAGAGCAATGAAACAACAAGAGAAATAATTTAAAAAAAAAACAGCAATAGTGCAGATAAAATTAATTAATTAAATATTAAAAGCCATCCTAAATAAGTAAGTTTTGAGTCTTGATTTGAATAATGTGAGGGAGTCGATGTGTCTGATGGCAGGTGGTAGTGAGTTCCAAAGCCGTGGAGCAGAGCGGCTAAATGCTCTGTCGCCCATGGACGATAGACAAGAAAAGGGAACAGACAAGTGGAGGGAGGAAGAAGATCGCAGGGTGCGAGAAGGAACAGAAATGTGTATGAGGGCAGACAAATATGGAGGGGCGAGATTGTGGATGGCTTTGAATGTTAACATCAAAGTTATAAAATCAATTCGAAACTGAACAGGTAACCAATGAAGCTGCTGCAGGACAGGGGTGATGTGATGAGAAGAAGGGGTTCTGGTGATGATCCGGGCAGCTGAGTTCTGGACCAACTGAAGCTTACAGAGAGATTTATGAGTGAGACCAAAGAGAAGAGAGTTGCAGTAATCTAATCGTGATGTGACAAGGCTATGGACAAGAAGAGCAGTGGCATGAGGGGTAAGAGAAGTGCGGAGACGGTTAATGTTGCACAGGTGGAAGTAAGCAGACCGGGTGATGTTATTGATGTGAGAATCAAAAGATAGGCTGCTGTCAAGGATGACACCCAGACTCCTAACCTGTTTAGAGGGATAAATGGAACAATCATCAATAGAAAGAGCAAAGCTGTCAGTTTTGGAGAGAGTTGATTTGGTACCAACAAGAAAAACCTTAGTTTTTGAGCTATTTAAGTTAAGGAAGTTAAGAGAGAGCCAGGATTTGATTGCTGCTAAGCAGACTGTGAGGGATGTAGGTGGAAAACAAAAAGAGAGTTTGCCAGAGAAATAGAGCTGGGTGTCATCCGCATAGCAGTGGAATTGTATGGTATATTTATGGAGAATATTACCAAGTGGAAGGAGACAGATGATAAAAAGCAGGGGGCCCAGGACTGAGCCCTGGGGTACACCTGAAGAAACTGTAAAATGCTGAGAAGTGAATGATTTGAGTTGATTGTACTGAGTGCGGCCAGAGAGATAAAATTTAAACCAGTCAAGTGGCATACTGGTGATGCCGAGAGAGGATAATCTATTGATGAGGGTGCTGTGAGAAATAGTGTCAAAGGCCGCACTCAGGTTAAGGAGAATGAGAATAGATATTAGTCTAGAATCAGCTGCCATAAGAAGGTCATCGTAACAGGTTAATTATTTGCCATTCATGGGTATTTCATGCAGAGAAATCTCCTTGTGTGTTTGCAGAATTGTGATTTCAGACCAGATGTACATTCAGTGCTGTTGCAGATTAAATATACTGTTTATGACACAAAAATATATATAAATAAGGTTAAACTTTAACCTAAGCCTCTTTCTGATTAACATTCTCAAATTTTCCCCACTTTTGTAGTTTATTTTTAAAAACACTTTGGGCCATGTTTGTAGTTCTAATCGAATATATTGTGGTCAATATTAGCCGTTATCTTGAAAGTGAATCTGCACTTCACATTTCAACCTGAAATAACTCTGAAATACTTAAACATACTACAATTTGGGACACTAGTTATTTTTTTTAATACTATCAAGAACCTATCAAGTATGCAAATCGTGAGACAGCGTGTAGACCAGACACTTGCATCTATTCCTTATAACTTTGCCTAATTGAGGAGTGTTAATGGCAGGTTTTACTAACAGTTTGACTCAACAGTGGAAACACGGTTATTGAAAGTTAAGCACTATAGTCGCCGTCTGAGCGAAGCCCTGAGTGTTTGTGAGCGTGTGAGACAATGTGTGTGTGTGTGTGTGTGTGTGTGTGAGTGTCTCAGAGCGTCTGCACAAGCACCGGGAACAGCAGTGACAGGTGTTCGGCTCCACGGATGGGCAGTTTGTTTGTGGTGTAGAAATGAATGACTTCGGGGATGGAGTCGAACGGAGGACTGTTTTCACCCAAGATGAACTTGCCGTCACGAGACTGAGAGAACTTCATGTGCATGAACCCGTGGCAGCTCCTGCACATACACAAGTAAAGAGAGAAAAAAAAAGAGGGGGAAACGGTCAATTTGCATATTACTTTCTTAGACATATGGACAGCAATGTGCAATGGCTGAAATGGGTGAAATGAGAGAGATTTAGTGATAATACAACAGACAGTGTTGTAATAGTTAACGAAACAGTTTAGAAATGTTCAGAAAATGATTGAAAAAAATGCCAAAATTTTTTATTTCATTTTTGTATAGCAATCAACAACCAAAGTTACACAATCTGAAATAAATTCATGAAAATTAATTAATTTCAAATGAATCTGAAATAAAATGTCAAATTTGCAAGAAACTTAATAATAAAAAACAAAAATAATACATTCTCCCAAATATATACCTTCCATTCAGTGTGCACCTTATACATTAACGATCGAGGGGGTCAACTTTTTTGCTAGTAGTTTGGTAATACATGCTTCAGTGAATTAAATTTATGAATGTATTTAAATTTATTAATAAAATATATACATTTTCAGTGCTTTGAGGGATAATTTGTGCCTATTTTAGAGGCTACTGTAGTCAAACTATTCAAATGATGCGTTTAATTCTCCTTTTCTAGGCTACATGCAGATATAAACAGCTACTTTACAAGTTTTTTGAATACTTAATGGCCCGTTTCCACTAAGTGGTACAGTTCGGTACGCTTTTATGGCCGTTCCCACTGTCAAAAGGCATACCGAACTGAACCGTACTACTTTTTTGCCGCCGTTTTAGAAAGGGTACCAAACACAAAAACGGGTACCAAAAGGAGGAGCTAGACGCGTAGCTACGTCATTCGGTTGCGCAACAAGCCAGAATGAAAAAGGAACCGCCATGTTTAAAATACACAGCCGATGAGCCGAGAGATTACAGCATAATAATATATACATATAATAACGAGCCATGGTCGACCTGGGCTCAAACAAACCTTGTCGTGATGAACACTATGATAAGCACTCTTAAGTTAGTTTTTAACAGTAGATGGCACTCTAGACTAGTTTTTAACAGCAGGCGGCGCTCTAGGCTAGTTTTTAACAGTAGATAGCACTCTAGACAAGTTTTTAACAGCAGGCGGCGCTCTAGGCTAGTTTTTAACAGTAGATAGCACTCTAGACAAGTTTTTAACAGCAGGCGGCGCTCTAGGCTAGTTTTTAACAGTAGATGGCACTCTAGACTAGTTTTTAACAGCAGGCGGCGCTCTAGGCTAGTTTTTAACAGTAGATAGCACTCTACACTAGTTTTTAACAGCAGGCGGCGCTCTAGGCTAGTTTTTAACAGTAGATAGCACTCTAGACAAGTTTTTAACAGCAGGCGGCGCTCTAGGCTAGTTTTTAAAAGTAGATGGCACTCTAGACTAGTTTTTAACAGCAGGCGGCGCTCTAAGCTAGTTTTTAACAGTAGATGGCACTCTAGGCTAGTTTTTAAAAGCAGGCAGCGCTCTAAGCTAGTTTTTAACAGTAGATGGCACTCTACACTAGTTTTTAAAAGCAGGTTGTGCTCTAAGCTAGTTTTAACAGTAGATGGCACTCTAGGCTAGTTTTTAAACAGCAGGCGGCGCTCTAAGCTAGTTTTCAACAGCAGATGGCACTCTAGACTAGTTTTTAACAGCAGACGGCGCTCTAAGCTAGTTTTCAACAGCAGATGGCACTTTAGACTAGTTTTTAACAGCAGGCGGCGCTCTAAGCTAGTTTTTAACAGTAGATGGCACTCTAGGCTAGTTTTTAACAGCAGGCGGGGCTCTAAGCTAGTTTTTAACAGTAGATGGCACTCTAGACTAGTTTTTAACAGCAGGCGGGGCTCTAAGCTAGTTTTTAACAGTAGATGGCACTCTAGGCTAGTTTTTAACAGCAGGCTGTGCTCCAAGCTAGTTTTAACAGTAGATGGCACTCTACACTAGTTTTTAAAAGCAGGCTGTGCTCCAAGCTAGTTTTAACAGTAGATGGCACTCTAGGCTAGTTTTTAAACAGCAGGCGGCGCTCTAAGCTAGTTTTTAACAGTAGATGGCACTCTAGACTAGTTTTAAACAGCAGATGGCACTGTAAAGTAGTTTTTAAAAGCGGGTGGCACTCTAGGCTAGTTTTTAGCAGCAGACAGAACTCTAGGTTAGTTTTTAACAGTAGATGGCACTCTAGGTTAGTTTTTAACAGTAGATGGCACTCTGGGTTAGTTTTAAACAGTAGATGGCACCCTAGGTTAGTTTTTTACAGTAGATGGCACTCTAGACTAATTTTTAACAATAGATGGTACTCTACGCTAGTTTTAAACAGCAGATGGCACTCTAGGCTAGTTTTTAACAGCAGACGGCGCTCTAGGCTAGTTTTAACCTCCAGACAGCACTTTAGGTTAGATTTAACCTCTAGACAGCACTTTAAGCTAGATTTTTAGCAGAAGATAGCGCTCTAGGCTAGATTTTAGCAGCAGATGGCGCTTTAGGCTAGATTTAAGCAACAGACAATGCTCTGGCTTAGACTTTTAAACAGCAGATGGTTAGCCTATGCAAGTTGGCTTTTATGTCATGAGATTAATATAAGCACAGCTCATTATGAATACTATTGTACACAGCACTATTATAGCAATTTTTATTTTCCACAGCAAATATTGAACAATGCAACTATATTTTAAGTCAAATAAAAGAAAAAAGGCTGTAGGATTGCATACCATGATGTAATATTCTGATCATACTGCTCACCTCATTACTTATGAAACATCAAAAGCGGTCAAACTTTGTTTTTCAATAGGAAATACATTATTAATAGCATGCTAAACACATTCAGACCCATAAAAACACCTCTAGCCTGAATTAATTGCATAATTACACATTGCAGAATAACCAGATGTAACTGCCCTCCAGCAGTAGAATATCAAGGTAGTTACAGAGCAAGAACAAAATTAAATAAATAAATGACAATATTTAAAAATAAGCGCAAATCCTGAAAGAAAAACAGGGAAGTTACAAGGAAGAGAGGGTCAAATGGCAAATAGGGTGTTGCTAGGTGGTAGTGTTGTCACGATACTGGAATTCGGTACCCATCAATAGTGAGATTTTAAAAACGTCCATTTGCTGCTAACATTTGAGCACTGTTGAGCATGTTCCTAAACAGCGCTGACCTGCCATTGTCCACATGCTCAACAGAAATGACTGTGATTGGACGTGAAGGTCATCAGTTCACCGAATTCACCGATGTTTACGGAGTGTAACCACAGATACAGGGAAATTGTAGTGTTTTAAAGCCATGATTCATCAGTGGATCAGCTTATAAACAAACCAGCTGATCGACGTGACTTTAAAATGCTCCTGTAGTAGTACACAACCAAGCACATGTGGTCAGAACACAAACAAGTCGCAGGTAATGAAGTATTAAGCGTTTCTTCCAAAAACCCCATCTAAGCAAAATGCTAACAGGCATCTGTAGCTCCGCCTCTTTGCCAATGTTTGGTTAACCGCAGTCAGTGCCATGTCGCTTGAACAAAATGGTGACGTTTGGCCACGCCCATTTGTAGCTTCATTTGCACTCTTCAGAAACCTATGGGTGACATCACGGATACTACATCTATATTTTTTATAGTCTATGGCTCTAGCCAAACTTAAAGAAATAAGACTAATATAATAAATAATAAGAAATTATAACAGGAAACACTGTGAAAGGATGTCCATGCTCTGGTAAACATCACTTGGGAAATAGAAAAAAAAATTCACCGGAGGGCTAATAATTTATTCTTCAACTGTATATAGTGATACATCTGAATTTAAACTTAATTCACAACAATTACAAATGATGTTCTATATAGTATGAACATGAGCATGCAGACATACTGCATTGTGCATCCTCCATGTTGTTGCTTTCACATGATGACCTAGTAGTGTCAGTTAAATTGCTTCACTGCAATTCATAAACCCTCCCGGCGGCCTCATGGGATACTAAAGCGAACATAAATGCACACTCCAGAATCTCAGCAGAGGAAGCAAGTTAACTGGGTTCTTCCCGGCTACTGCTCTGTCAATACTATCAGACGTACTATTCATCTAACACACACACACACACTGCTTTATGTAGTATGGAAGTAGTCATATTTAGACGCAGGATGTGAGTTTGTGTGCAATGTGACTGTACCTGAGAGAGAGGGAATAGTCATTTCGACTGGTCTGGCTTTTCCTGACCAGGTAACTGCACTCTTTACACAGCGTGAGCAGAGATTCGGCTTCTGAACGCGTCAATGCACCATGATACCACCTAAAATGGACACAGAAATATTAAACACGCGAAAACAAGTGACATGATTAACACTTAAGTAAAAAAATGAGGTAAAATAATGTTAAGTATTTTGCTTTTAACACTTTTGGCTAAGTTTATTTTATTGATTTCATTCTTTTATTATTATTGTTCAACAGTCAAAGAATAAAAGCATACAACATACAAAAAAAGCAGCTCATTTGCATTTAAAAAGACACATGAAAACCAATTGTTTCGGCTTTTACCACCCAAAAAAGGGTCATTTAGCATATATAAATAAGCCATAAGGTATTTTGAGCAGAAATTTAAACACATCAGACATAATATTTTACATCTTAGTTTTCATGTGTCTCTTTAAATGCAAATGAGCTGCTCCTCCCCTGGCCATGTTTCCAGAAAAGGGCGGAGCCTGTACAGCTTGTGCCTCAGTCAGTCATTCTGTCAACACTTTAGCTTTATTTAAAACAAAACCCCATTATTGTCTGCTTCATACTGTGGCATATAACACCCAAATGACCTACAATAGCATTCAAAAGATTAGGGTCAGAAAGATTTATTTATTATTTTTACAGAAATGAATATTATCAAAGACCATAGAATACACAAGACATGTCACTCGTATCTTTTTGAATAGGGAAAGTGTAACGGTCAATATGCTGAATGAAGCCCTGTCTGCTGGTTCAGGAGCCAATCATTGATTGCTATATGGCAAATAAACCCCACCTTCTAGTACAGGAGCCAATCATTGATCGTTATAGACTGAGGATACTCCAGAGGATGAGCTCGGACCAGGCATGAGTTTCTGCAGATTTTGAGTGATTTGGACATTTAGGAATGAAACTAAAGAGGCAGCTGGTTGTTTAATTTTCTTGGTTATTCGTAATATGTTATGCGATTGTAAGCTTGGCAAGCAGTTTTGGAGAATTTGATGTTTCCCTATTCAGATAGAATGCCCCGGCATACTGCCCGAGAGGCGTTTCAAAGATGGCCACCGAGTGAAATGACTTGCCTTAAAGGGATTGTGATATTATTCAGCAAAGATGCATTAAATTCATCAAAAGCTAGAGTAAAAACAGTAATAATTCTTCAAAATATACAGTAGAAGTCAGAATTATTAGCCCTCCTGAATTATTAGCCCCCATGTATATTTATTTCCCCAATTTCTGCTTAAAAATGAATAAGAGTAATATTTTTTTCTACACATTTCTAAACATAATAGTTTTAATAACTAATTTCTAATAACTGATTTATTTTATCTTTGCCATAATGACAGAATATTTTCCAAGACGCTAGTATTCACCTTAAAGTGACATTTAAAGGGCTTAATTAGGCAAGTTAGGGTATTTAGGCAAGTCATTGTATAACAATGTTTGCTCACTGGGCAATCGAAAACAAATATTGCTTAAGGGGGCTAAAAATATTGACCTTAAAATGGTTTTAAAAAGAATAAAAACTGCTTTTATTCTAAAATAAAACAAATATGACTTTCTCCAGAAGAAAAAATATTATAGGAAATACTGTGAATAATTCCTTGCTCTATTAAACATAACTTGGGAAATATTTGGAAAAAAAAATAGGAAGGCAAATAATTCTGACTTCTGACAATAATTCTGACAACTGTATATCTGGTGCTCAAAGCCTCTTCCAGACCCCGTGTGAAGCTTGTTTTGTAATAGTAAGCCCACTGAGCATGTGTTCATACATACACCTGCTTCTCCAGGGGCAGCATTGGATCCACTCTCTCTCCCAGGATGCCATGGGGTTTTCGTAAACTGGTGGCTCCGCTGGACGGAGGGCTGACTCTGGACACTCCTGCTTTCCTTAGTGCCTCGTCACATGGGAGAGTACACTGATCCCAGTCCGCTGCTTCAAACGTCACTGCAAAACAAGCATTATGAACAAAGAGCGTAAATAAAATCAGTACAAAACAGTGAAAAAAAGTTCACTATATTTTTCACTCTCCCACATATACAGTTGAGGTCAGAACTATAAGAACTACTTTAAATATTGTTATACAATAACATCCCTAATTATACTAACCTTATTAACCTAGTTAAGCCTTTAAATGTCACTTTAAGCTGAATAGTAGCATCTTGAAAAATATCTAGTCAAATATTATGTGCTGTCATCATGGCAGAGATAAAATAAATCAGTTATTAGAAGTGAGTTATTAAAACTATTGTTTAGAGATGTGTAGATGCGTTGAATAAATCTCTGTTAAACTGAAACTGTGGACATAAATATACAGGGGGGGGCTAATAATTCTCAACTGTATATATTTGAAAGGAGTAATATTTTATGTTGTTTTACCAAGGTTGCATTTATTTTAGCGAATATACAGAACAAACTGTGCAATTAAACACTTTAAACTAAATGTAGTTTAAAATTTACGTAAAGACATTTCTAATGGAAATGCTCAAAAGAATCCTAAAAACGAAAATACATCAGAACAATGTTTTCGCGAAAATTTAAATTATACAATAATCTACGCCCCTGCTTTTTAGCAAGACGCTCCTCATATAGCCGCCTGTGGTGCTTTTTTAGGTGCTGGTTGTTGTATTTCCTCATGCTGTGGCAACAAGGAACAATTCTGCAACATCTCATACAGATTACTTGGTTTTATTTGGTGTCTGTGCCTGTGCCTTTAAAACTAAGATATTTCTATAATACCAATGTGCTGTTTTTCTCTGGAATTAATTAGTCTATTAATGCTTCTGAAGCAGCAAATGCAATTATCCCATTCTTCCGTGCTTTCCTGTTTATTTGTTTTTTATAGGGTATATGCCGAAGCATGCCAATAGAACTTTTAATTTGCCAGTAACCTGGGTTAATCATTTCCGGTGAACTGTGTCCCAATGCAAAATCTGTGCGTTTAAGGTCTGTTGTTTTTTTGTTGTTTTTTTTAATCAGCGATCTTCACTGGCTGAGTGATATCCGATATAAAGTGGGTCTTAGATTATACAAGAAGCACCACTTTAAATTACATTTTTCCCTGCCATGTCTTTATAATATGAGCATTTATTTTACCCCAGTATATTCAATGGAGCTTCAGCGCTAACCTGTCGATTCTGACGGGCACGTGCTAGCAAATGGCTTTTTTCCTCGTTTTACGCTTGAGCAACTAAATGAATGCCAACGTCTATTTAACTGATTGTATTTTGATTACATCACAACATCGATGCTGTAAAAGGAACCGTATAAAATGGAAAAAACTGGTCACCGGAAGTTTATCAGCATGGGAAAAACACTAGCTCGGAATATACCCTATTGTGGACGTTCTGTATAGCTCGGTTTATCAATTCTGATTGGGCAGAACGAAAGTGTGCTCACTCAATTGGCTAGTAAGATTGTCACACAGATGACTGTCACACACTGACGTCAGTCATGCATTTGCTCTGAGCGGGGAAAGTTAAATAATGTATATTTCATATTGTAGTCTCTTGCGAATAGCTAATCACAGCGTTTCAAATCGCGATACAATTTCGATTAATCGCACAGCCCTAACTGGAAGAACCAACTCCATACAGAAATACCAACCGACCCAGCAGGGACTCAAACCAGTGACCTTCTTGCTGTGAGCCACCCTATATTAATCATACTTAATGATAATTATATAAAAATATTAATATTTACTGAGAACCAATTATACACATAGGAGAACAGAAATCAGCACATTTTAAAACATTTACAACAGCAATGATGCTAAAAAAACTTTAATCACAGAAATAAATACATTTTTAAATTACATTTAATATAAAAATAGTTATTTTAACATTTTTACTGTATTTTACTTTGTAATTCAAAGGCACAGTTTACCACAAACTGATATGAGCTTCTTTCTTCTGTTGAACACAAAAGAAGATATCTAGAAAAATGCAATAGAAGTCAATAGAAGGACTTATAAAGTAGGTGAAAACGAGGGAAAGTAAACGAAGATGCAATTTAATATTTTTTACTGTATTTTGATCAAAGCCTTCGCAAGTAGAATAGGCCTCTTTTAAAAACATTAAAGCATCTTACTGCTCAAACATTGTCTGGTGGTGTATATTTTTGCATTTACTTGATCAAGGAAAGACAAAAAAAGTGGTAATGTGAAATATTAAACTGCATTGACAGCATAATTTTACTCCAGTCTTCAGTGTCACACAATCTTTGAGAAATCATCTAATGTGCTGATTTTATGCTCAGAAACGTCTCATATTAGTAGGTATTTTCTCGGGCGCTGCTTTTCCTGTCATGACAGTTCTAGTGAAGGATTCCCGTGAAGCTCTTGCCTTGTTTGTGCGATGTGCGTCTGACAGAGCGTGAAAAACCCATGAGCACCAGCAATCAGATGAGAAGTGCTGGAATGACAGCGCGTGACAGAAGCAGAGATGATCTGAGTGTGTGTGAAGCGGAGCAGAAGTCACACTTTCCCTCTGATCTTTGAGCTCGACTCTTCTGCTCCATCGATCACAACAGCAAACAGCATAAAACTCACTCAAATCATCTTTCCTCATGAGTAGACTGCTCTCAAATGCTCAAAATCCTGTGCTTTTTGCCATTTACTACGATTTAAATGGTTAAAAAATTGTATGGATTTTTTTTTATATTATATTATATTATATTATATTATATTATATTATATTATATTATATTATATTATATTAAATATCAGTAGAGTTAAATATAACTATTGCAATGTGTCTATTTAGTTAAATCTATTGAGTCTACAAATGGATATAGAGTATTTAATCATAGACAGACAGACGGACGGACAGATAGATAGATGGATGGATGGATAGACAGACAGACAGACAGACAGACAGACAGACAGACAGACAGACAGACAGACAGACAGACAGACAGACAGACAGACAGACAGACAGACAGACAGACAGACAGACAGACAGATAGATAGATAGATAGATAGATAGATAGATAGATAGATAGATAGATAGATAGATAGATAGATAGATAGATAGAACGATAGATAAAACGATAGATAGAACGATAGATAGAACGATAGATAGATAGATAGATAGAACGATAGATAGATAGATAGATAGATAGATAGATAGATAGATAGATAGATAGATAGATAGATAGATAGATAGATAGATAGATAGATAGATAGATAGATAGATAGATAGAACGATAGATAGAACGATAGATAGAACGATAGATAGAACGATAGATAGAACGATAGATAGAACGATAGAACGATAGAACGATAGATAGAACGATAGATAGAACGATAGATAGAACGATAGAAGGATAGATAGATAGATAGATAGATAGATAGATAGATAGATAGATAGATAGATAGATAGATAGATAGATAGATAGATAGATAGATAGATAGATAGATAGATAGATAGATAGATAGAACGATAGATAGAACGATAGATAGAACGATAGATAGATAGAACGATAGATAGAACGATAGATAGATAGAACGATAGATAGATAGAACGATAGATAGAACGATAGATAGATAGATAGATAGATAGATAGATAGATAGATAGATAGATAGATAGATAGATAGATAGATAGATAGATAGATAGATAGATAGATAGATAGATAGATAAATAGAACGATAGATAAAACGATAGATAGAACGATAGATAGAACGATAGATAGAACGATAGATAGATAGATAGAACGATAGATAGATAGATAGATAGATAGATAGATAGATAGATAGATAGATAGATAGATAGATAGATAGAACGATAGATAGAACGATAGATAGAACGATAGATAGAACGATAGAACGATAGATAGAACGATAGATAGAACGATAGATAGAACGATAGATAGATAGATAGATAGATAGAACGATAGATAGATAGATAGATAGATAGATAGATAGATAGATAGATAGATAGATAGATAGATAGATAGATAGATCGATAGATAGATAGATAGATCGATAGATAGATCGATAGATAGATCGATAGATAGATAGATCGATAGATAGATCGATAGATAGATAGATCGATAGATAGATAGATAGATAGATAGATAGATAGATAGATAGATAGATAGATAGATAGATAGATAGATAGATAGATCGATAGATAGATAGATCGATAGATAGATCGATAGATAGAACGATAGATAGAACGATAGATAGAACGATAGATAGATAGATAGATAGAACGATAGATAGATAGATAGATAGATAGATAGATAGATAGATAGATAGATAGATAGATAGATAGATAGATAGATAGATAGATAGATAGAAAGATGGATAGATATAGATAGAACGATAGAAATATAGATAGAAAGAACGATAGAAAGAACGATAGAACAATAGATAGATAGATAGATAGATAGATAGATAGATAGATAGATAGATAGATAGATAGATAGATAGATAGATAGATAGACAGACAGACAGACGGACGGACGGACGGACGGACAGACGGACGGATAGATGGATAGATACTGTTCAAGTTTTCAACAACCAAAGACATTACCTACAAGTTATTGGATAATATTGTTCAACATCAGACAGCATTTTCGTTTTTTTTTTTTCTCGTAAGGCACAGCTTTCGAAATGTAGACACGAGACTGCTGGGTAGTTGCGCTGATGCTAGTAGATGGTCGACGTTTACAAACACTTGTTTGGGTCTGTAATTTCCTAGCAATTTCATAAGGGTGGCATGTTTTAATTGATGAAACGGGTTTGTGGTGTTGCCTGTTTTTGCTGGCACGAGTTGTCTGCGCAGTTTGCTTTGTTTAGTGTGGGATTGCAAAAAAAATTATGCAGCTCCAGACTCCTGCAGTTCAGTGACGTTTCTTGTCAACAATGTCTGTGACCTTATTTGTTTTACCTTATTTTTTTCTTACTCCTCCAAGTGGAACTAACAATGTATGGCTGTATACTTGTACTACATGCGGCATCCGGATTTGCATGCTGCATAAACATTATCGAACACTTATCGAACTGTCATTATCGTTTTATCAAAAAATTATATAGTGATAATTATCGATATCGAATTATCACCCAGCCCTAGTTTCAAGCTTGCAAATGAGCAAAATAAAATATTACTTTAAATAAAAGGCTAATATGATCATTAAAAGAATAACAGGATCAGTTAATCATTAAATATAATGACGAATATAAGTCAACAGATTAGTCTTTGATGTACACAATGCACATTTTACATTCATGTGACCATGAGTGTTATTTTTTTTCCCAATGTGCATCTGAAGTAAATCTGGAGGTCAATGTTTACTCATAAATGACCATAAGGTGTTCAAGATTTAGGCCTTTTAGGTATTATCTCACTTCATTTCTCTCTCCATACCTCACATGGATGAAATTTTAATGTCTGTATTCCATTTTCATGAGCTAAATGCACCTTGTGAGTTAGATGATATGCTAATCTGTTTCAAATCATTAATGATCTGATAATGATCTGTTTCTCTAATCATAGCAGCGTAGAGTTTGTAATCTTTGTAAGCTTATGCTTCATCCCGCTTCATTTTCGACCATGCTGAAATGTATTTCTTTGTATTAATGATATTTTATGTATGATAGTTTTGTTCGAAAATAAATAAATAAAAAAAATAATAATAATAATTCATGCATGCTTGCTTCATTTCCCCCTCACATCTACTGTATGCACATTACTGACGTCCAGGCTTAATCAATTTATAGGGGACCTATTTTGCCCCTTTTATAAGATGTAAAATAAGTCACTGATGTCCCAAGATCATGGGTTCTCAATGTCTACATTAAAAGGTCCCAATCTGAATTTTTATAAAGGTCAAATGTCTGGAACAATTGATATTAAATAACTTGCTTTTAAAGGGGCATGAAACCAGCTCGTTTAGGCTGGGTTTTTTCACACCTCTACTTTAGAAAAAGTGGGCGTGTCCAGCTCTGTTTAGGGGGAGTGTAGGAGGAGGGGAAAGAGGGAAGGTCTGTAAATATTTGCATAAAAATAAGAGTGTCGGTTTGGGCACGCGTTGATTTTCACAGAGGCAAAACTAACGCACAGACGAAGGGGAGAAAGACTGACTGTGTTTACATGGACATCAGTAATCGAATTATTTGCCAAATTATTAAATGGTGGACTTTAACTGCAGTTTGGCTCTTTCATTTAGGAATTTCATTCATGCCCCTCATGACAAACGAGATATTTGATTCAAGGAATTGCTGGAAGCATGTATTTTTCATGCAATGTTACCGCACAGCGAATGAGAGAAAAAAAACCTCCGCATTTCTCGGTAACTTAGATGCACTCGGTAGGTAGTGTCAAAGCCATGTGTGTTATTCCTGTCACAAAATTCGGCGAAAATCCAACACGACGGTAAGTTTGATTGTGGTGCTTAGATGTTTACACTTGGAGAGCAGCATTTACAGAAGATTTTTCAGTCCACCATTTAAATGCTGGAAACCCTCCTCACGTTCATTACTAAAGCAAAGTTAAACTGCTATGTACCGCATTATCTAGAACACAGGTGTCAAACTCAGTTCCAAAAGGACTGCAGCTCTGCACAGTTTAGTTCCAACCCTAATTAAACACACCTGATCAAACTAATTAAGTCCTTCAGGCTTGTTTGAAACCTACAGGTAAGGGTGTTGGAGCAGGGTTGGAACTAAACTGTGCAGGGCTTCGGCCCTCCAGGAATTGAGTTTGACGCCCCTGCACTAGAATAACAGTGTCTGAATAAAAGCCCTTCGTTTCTCTCTCAACCCTGAACAGAAAAAGCTCGTACCGTTTATGAATCGCTGGGCCTCAAACGGCTCCATGTAACTGCTGCAGGCCTCCACTGCGTTCTGTTCCCAGCCGGGTCTGGGCCGCGGGTCTGGCCTGGCGTCAAACGGGTCCGAGTAATCCGTCTCTCCAACCACAGGAGCCGAAGGAACCACCTGGGGGAAAGAAGCATCAAAGTGTGTTCAATAATAGTGCTGCAACTGCACACATGGCTCGATATGCGCTTCAGCTTTGAAGTCAGTTCTAAATGTTGTTTATTATTATTTTATGAAACAGTGCCAAAGCTTTATGTGATTAATAGACAGGAGGTATGCTATTTAATATGTAGTGAAGGGTTTTCCTTGCAACAAATGAAAAGCAAGAACATTTTTTTATTAATACGGATTCATTAAAATTAAGAAACACAAAACTAGAAGTGCTACATGTGCAATGTTTAAAATAATGTACAGTTGAAGTCAGAATTATTCGCCCTCCTCTGGGTTTTATTTTCTGTTTCAAATATTTCCCAAATGATGGTTAACAGAGCATGGAAATTTTAACTGTTTTTCCAATAATATTTTTTTCTTCTGGAGAAAGTCTTATTTGCTTTATTTCAGCTAGAATGAAAGCAGTTTTTTTTTTTTACTATTTTAAAGGGCACATAATTTACCCCTTTTTATGATTTAATATTAATATTATGGTTCTTCTGAGTGTGCCAGTTTAGGTTCAGTTCAACACACAGTTCAGACGTTTTTATTATAATGTGTTTTAAGAGTTCACACTTAGCTGATGATTGGTAATAAGTTAGTTTGGCATGCTGTCCCGGGAGAGAGCCCCGAGCTCAAAAGATCCTCGAGCCCGGAGCTCCCTTCCGTTGCAGGGCGAGAGGGGAGTTTGACTCGGGTAGATCTCGAGGACCCCCCCCCCCTCCTGCTGCGTAAGGATTGCTAAGGTGATGTGTTGCTGACAGAATTGAATTTGGTGCTAATTTGGTTTAGTCAATTTACTTAGTCTCATTTTTTTGGGGGTGTGGGAGGAAACCGGAGGACCCGGGGAAAACCCACGCAAGCACGGGGAGAACATGAACTCCGCGCGAAAATGCTGACCGGTTGGGTGGATACCCGAGTCGGAGGCATTTTTTGCTGTGAGGCCGCAGTGCTAGCCACTGGGCCGCCATGCTGCCCTGTAGAAAAGAGGAGGAGAGGGGGTGGAAGGGGAGATTCTTCAAAACGAAGATGACTAAAGGTAGGGTGTTTGGTTATTTATACTGGGTTAGGAATAGCCTGATTGGTGGTTCATTCATTAGCTTGACTCGGGCTTGAGCACATGATCCTCTCGAAATTAGTTTATGAATAAACTTCACTAAAAAGTGTCATGTTGGGGATGTTTACACAGTTTGCTGTTTTAGGGGCGTGTTGCTTCACAGTTCCGGCTTCCCGCCCAATGTAACAAGGGGGCGGAGCCAAGAGCTCCTACGCTCTGTGTTTGCAACAGACAGGCTGACAGACAGAGAGAGAGAAGCTAACCTGAGCTAGGATGAGCATTCAGCCGTACATGTACAACTCGGGACACTCTGGACCAAGCAGAGAGAACACAATCATTTGCGTCTTTGTTTAGTCTTGGTGTACAAGTGCCGAGCTTGACACCGAGACTAATAACCACACACACTTAATTAACTTTGACTGAAGCAACGAATGCGCCGTGACAAGGCACACCAGACACACTCAGTGACGCGGCAGAAACATGAAGTGTCCCTAATCGTTGCGCCACGCATTCCAAAACTCCAAACACAGGCCTCCACCAGGGCAAACACAACAGTGCTGAGCCGCTGACCCGAAGCTCCGCCACGTGCACCCCGACAGAAACCCCGCGCCAAGCCGCTGACCCGAAGCTTCGCCGCGTGCACCCCGACAGACACCCACGCCCAGAACTCCGAAATGTACCGCGTCACACCACGCAAAAGGTACAAGCAATAAACCCGATTATAGCGATAATGTGGAGAATGTTGATCTTGTGTTAAGCCCAATGAGCCTTTCATCAAAAAATAGAGCATGGGTGTACCTTTAATGAAATCGCTTTGACTCACGTGCTGAAAATGGCGGACGTGCATCAAGAAACTGAGGATATGATCGTGATGCAAGGCTGTCAGTCAATATTGGTGGGCGGGGGGGCCGCACTCCTACGTAAAGTTGTGGTTGGTCTGAAAACCGCTCCAATTGCTCCACCATTTTTTTATTGTTAAATTGAAAAAAAAAAAGGACTGGGTGTGTTTATATCACCCCAATATGACGGTCTATACACTAAACTTACACACATGTCTGTCCAAACAGCTTGAAAAGTAGATTTTTTTACCATAGGTGCCCTTTAAGGTCAATATTATTAAACCTCTTAAGCAATATTCATTTTCGATTGTTTACAGAACAAATCATCGATATAAAATGACTTGCCTAACTACTCTAACTTGCCTAATTAACCTAGTTAAGACTTTAAATGTCACTTTAAGCTGAATACTAGCGTCTTTCCAAATATCTAGTCAAAAATTCATGGCAAAGATAAAATAAATCAGTTATTATAAATGAGTTATTAAAAAATTATGTTTAGAAATGTTTTAAAAAAAAAAACTTCTCTCCGTTAAACAGAAATTGGGGAAAAATATTCAGGAGGGCTAATAATTCTGATGTTGAATGATGCAAACAAGATGTTGAACAAGATGACTATGAAATCAAAATCAATCGTAGAGTTTTAGACCATATTTGATTATGCTAGCTTTTATGTACATTGTGGGTTTAACTTATTCAAACACTTAGCTCAAATTCATTCAGGAGTAAATCACTCCAGTGTTGCTCTAAGACAAAACACAAATGTTGAGTGTCGGTTTGTTTGGAACGGCTTTAAATGGTAAAACAGAAAATAACAATATTGTGTTTAAAATGCAAGTCACTCCATATAAAATTCACGCTATTTTTTGGGGTGAAATTGCACTCTTGTTTGTTTGATATTACTTAACTCTTTAATAAACTTATACAGAGGAGAAAATAAGTATTGAACACAAGAGGTTTTTTTTTCTTGGGAAAAATAATTCTAAAGGAGCTGTTGACATGGAGTTGAACCAAGTTTTGGTAAAAACCCAAACAATACAAACATAAAGATAAAACAACACAAAAATCTGAAAAATAAGTTGTGTAATAACAACAAAATGACACAAGGAGAAAGAGCTGAACTACTGAAATGTGTTTAATACTTTATATAAAAGGCTTTTTTCTCATCTGGAGAATGAGGTCACATGCATTGCTCAGGTGTGAGTCAATCAAATCTGATCTTCATTTAGTATTGTCTATTGGATTGGAGTCAGGTGATTGGCTGGGCCATTCTACAGCTTGATTTTCTTTCTCTGAAAGCATTTGAGAGTTTCCTTGGCTGTGTTTTGGATCATTGTTTTGCTGAAATGTCCACTCTGGTTCTATATTTATCATCCTGCTAATGTAGATGTTGGACTGAAACAGCTAATATTCATTTACACTGAGGAAGAGCAAAAGGTTGCGGAAGAACTAGAGATTTCAGCGGCCGTCTGGGCTTTCACCGCAATTCTACACCTCTCTTTCTACATCTGTTTAATACTATTTCTCTGTCATTTCATTTTATTACACTTAACTAGGGCCAGACGGAATCTGCAGATATTTTTTGCCATTTCTGTGGAAAGTTTTGGTAAAAATCTGCGGATTTCTGCGAAGTTATTTTGTGAGTATCATAACTAAAACCATAATATATGCAGGGCTCAACAATAAGGACTGCCCGATGGCCCGGGGCCAGCGTGTGAGATGCTCGGGACAGTAGACAGGATCGTTACTGGCCCGATCGGGCCACTAATGCCCTATCAGTAAAGTTTAATTTGCCTGTGACTATTTGTCAATTGCGTGCAAATACAGTCAGAATAGAGAAATCGTTTGTGTTTTCAAATGTCTAAATTTAAAAGCCTTCAAATGTTACCTTCTCGGTTCTTCTTATCTGATTGAATGTTGTGAGCATGTTATTTTTTTCCGTAACAACCAGTACAGCTAAGAGACAGAAACATGGCAGCAACATCAAGTGATGATGCTAAAGGAAAACATTTGTCTCTAACGTCTTGGAAGCAGACATTTACGAGGGTACACAATGACAAAAAAAAAGGAAGTGATGTTTTGTACAGTTTGCCGTTAGTTTGGCAGGTCAGTCATCTTTTGTTTTGCAAAAAAAATACCTGCACATTTTGCTACTTTTGTTTGCAAAACACTTTATCAACATTTTTTAACTATTAAAATTCTAGATTTACAAACATTTTGACTTTTTTTTTTTATTTGTGGCTAAGAAATAGCTATTAACTTTTTTGGTGGGGCCAGTGACAATATTAGCAGGGCAATTAAAAATCTGAACCACTGTTCCGATCGGGCCAGTAGAAAAAATACTTAGCGTTGAACCCTGATGTGAATTTAAAAATGACACCTTTTTAACTTTTATGTAACATTTAAAATGCAAATACAATTAGATTCACTTTATTTGGTAAACAAAGCAAGTCTCTCATAGTATATCTACTAAAAGACAGAAAATATTACACATTTACTTAAGTAAATAAACAGAATTAATGATGGGCTAAAAATCTGTGAACAATCTGCGGAATTCTGCGCGCGCAGATTTTGTGTGGGCCTACTTATAACTTAATTTGTAAACTAATTAGTTTAGTTTTCTTTGCATATACAGATTCTGTTGGTTGTTACCAACATTTGGTGAAAATTTCAAGTCAACAGCACCTTTAGAAATATGTTTTCTGAGAAAAATGGTGACGTGTACAATACATATTTTCCCTGCTGAAAAACAAAAACCCATAATTAAATTACAATAACTGTAACGCCTGGGTTCACAACAGGAAGGCACAGGATCTCAGGATTATTAAAACACGTATATTCATTGATAACACTTACGGAGATGAACACAAGAAGAACATGGGGTGAAGACTGAAGACCAACTTAGCGAATACCGGAAAAGGACTGAATGAAACTAAGGGCTATAAATACACTGGGGATGATGAGACTGTACATACAGGGGATGAACACAGGTGACACTGACGGACATAATGACATGGCAGGAATGGGAACAAAGGAACACATGGTAAGGGTCACATGATGAAAACACACACACACAC